TGGACGTGGAACACCCAAGCTGCGACATATCTCCCAAGTCTGTTGATACCCGATTCCTGCTAGGGCAAAGGCTCCCACAAGCTTATGCATCACTGGAGGGGTTCGTGGTCCAGGCTTACTCGATGGCAAATTGTACCTTACCCTACTGGTCGACCACATCTCATCCTTTGCAGGACAAGATGTGCACATCCACAGCATTCCAAAACACGCCCATGACCTCTTCCATGATGCAAGCATCATCTCACCCTGACAGCCATTTTTCTGACAGTAACCCAACGCCCGGCCACAAAAGAAGGAAACCATCACCCTCGGATCAAGGAAACATAGCATGTCCGATGGAAAGTCGTCCCATTTTGGATGGGATTTCCACCCTTGCGGCACCCGCCTTGGGGCCGGTCCCTCTCGTGGTGCTGATGTGCAAGTATGACACGGAATGACAGAACACAGTTGCGGTGTACAGTGGCCAGAGTCGGATTCAGTTGCATGACAAAGCGGATGATACTCTAGTTGTTGCATTTCTCCTATTGATTGCGCACGCGAATATCTTAGGGTTCTCTCAAAATTGCCACCAGGATCCTAGAGCACTCACCCGTCATGAACATCGACCGCCTTGGCCGCATCGTTTGGAGATATCCCCCCATCTCCAAGACTTGCCCTCATTTCATGGGACCCTTCTTGGACCTGCCCCATGGCACCAGATCCTTCAGCACTCTCACCCATATGCGAGCCACCCCCCCCCCTAGCTGCCGGATCACGACCATCTTGCCTAGCAGTACCGAGTAACCTCCCCCCCCCTTGTCGGTGCATCATGGCAGCCTCCCCCCCCATTGCCATCTCCCCGCTGCTATCCTCCAGTATCTGTCGCCGAACTGTCGTCCGACTCCTCCGACGTGCTCGCTCCCGCCGGCGTGGCCCCATCTACAGGAACATTGCCGCACGTTAGCACCGATGTCTATCTCATCTCCCATTTCAACAACTTGACACGACCACTAAGTCATCCTAAAGACATCCACACACCCGTTGCTTGATGATTTACCCATCTTGATCCCTTGCGTGCGCCACCCCATCCATTCCCGTTGACCCTCCGAATACCACCCCTCCCCACCTCCTCCCAGGGCGGGAAGTCGTAATCCACACCAGCCAACTCTCTATTCCCGCGGTCCAGAATATCATCCATCTTCGCCGCACCCCGGCCCATTCATTTCCTGAACGTAGTGGACGAAGCCGCAAGATGTAGTTTCACCACCTCATTGGCCGCGTGCCCATGAGGTCCTGCGTTATGCACCAGCACAAACGAGCCATCAGTTCCGTGTTTATTCCAACACATGTACCTTCACATCAACTTATTTACGAGTTGATGTACACACGTCAGCTCACCTGCATTCGCGGCAGCCTGCCGTAATCTTACTGTTACGTTCGGGGCTGCGTGTATGTAGATTCTTAGTAGGTCGCTGAGTGTGGCCAGACGCGGCCCAGGCATGAGCATGCTCAACCCCATGCACAAGTAGCAGATGGGTGCTCGTAACGACCACTCTACATTGTGTCGGCGCACATCGTATGTTTGGCATGCTCGTGCTGCATTGCGGGTTGCCCGTCCCCCACAAGGCTCACTGTAGGAGCGCAGAAAGGGGGCAACATGTGCAGTTTGGTTCATGACATTGGTGATGGTTCTCATATTTCAACACGGCCCAGTACCACAAGGGGTCATCCACTCCTTGCACAACAGGTGCGCCCATTATATTTCACCCGTCACCAACAACCCAACTGTGGGGGCTGGGGCTTGGCACCACAAATGAATGATTGCGTAGTGGGCAACCCTCATTATATTGTCAAGGTTGTTCTCGTACCCTCACTTACCGACGGTCGGTATGCACATGTCTACTAGATCCCCCACGCTGCCCGCCATGTGGGCTCGTTCCGCCCCGCCTCGTGCGCAATATTCTCAACACTGTCACCACCCTTCTGCCACACACACAGAGTAGTGAAGACAAGCATAGCCCATGTGGAACATTGCTTGCCAATTTCCATGGGGATGGGTTGAATCGAGGGATAGCAACTCCTCCTTGCCAAACATGACCCTCCAATATCCCCTTTCTCACCCTCCCAATCCACATCACATGAACACTTGCTCCCACCCTGCTCCGCAGCTGGCCCCTTGCTCCGCATCTCCCACCTTGCTCCACATCTCGCCCTATCCATCTTGCTCCCCTCCTGCAACCACACACCCCACAGCCTGGCTCCTCATCGCACCCTAGAGCATATCTACCGATGCTCCCCCTCGTAGGCTGCACTCTATCTAGCCTTGCTACAGTGGTCCCCCCGAGCCCTCTGAACCCTAGCTCCCCATTTCACCCCACACCCTATCCATCCATGCTTCCTTCGCTCTTCCCGCTCTCTCCACCCGTTCCCCCTCTCACCCCACGGCCTATCTACACCCCCACCGCTTACGCTATACGCCCTTATTCAGCCTTACTCCCATGGTCACCTAGCGCCCTCTGTACCGTCGCTTCCTATTTTACTCCATGCACTATGCAGCGGTGCTCCCCCACTCATCCCACAGCCTATCCAGAAACCGGGATGAGGCATAGCAAACCGGAAAAGGTGGGGGGGGAGGGGGGGGCGGGTTTTGCTGAATAGGGAGATGTGGTGCACCCGGTTCTGTTGCAATGCATGATCAACCCGGAAGCACAATATCATGCATAATAAACATGCAACATGCCATGGTTGAAAAGCCCAATTCCCCCAGACACTGAATTTCAGCCCCAGCATCATGCCATGGTAGGGTTTCGCGCGCTAAACTCGGTCTAGCGCAATTGGCGAGAGAGAGGGAGGGAGCACAGTATCAGGTGGGGTGGGTGAGGTGGAGACATAGAGGTGCAGAGCTGTGGTGGTAGGCTGTGTGGTTAGATCCGGATTCTTGACACAGCCGCGGATTTCCCAACTCCGGACCGGCTGGTTGGGTTCGCTTTGTCGTTGCCCGGCTGGAAAATCCATCAAATGTTGCGTGGCCTGTCCATTTTCCCAGCTTCCCCTATCTCCCCACGCCCTATCCAACATGCACCCTGCGCTCTCAACGCGTAATCCCCAGCCGTGTTCTCCCGTTTCAATCAGCACCCTACCCACACTTGCTCCCATTCTCACCCCACACCAACTCCACTCTTGCTCAACCTGGCATACCACGGCCTATCCAGCATCCCTTACACTCTCACACCCCACGCCCTATCTAGCCTTGCTCCCCCTCTCACCCCGCACCCTATCCAGCATCCATTCACTTCTCACCCCACGCCCTACCCAGCCTTGCTTCCCCACTCACCCGACACTCTAAACTGCACTGCTTCCCCTCTCACCCCCCGCCCTACCCAGCCTTGCTTCCCCGCTCACCTCACACTATAAACTGTCTTGCTTCCCCTCTCACCCCACGCCCTACCCAGCCTTGCTTCCCCTCTCACCACCCGCCCTACCCAGCCTTGCCTCCCCTCTCACCACCCGCCCTACCCAGCCTTGCTTCCCCTCTCACCCCACGCCCTATCCAGCTTGCTTCCCCTCTCACCCCATGCCCTATCCAGCCTTGCTTTCCCACTCACCCGACACTCTAAACTGCATTGCTTCCCCTCTCACCACCCGCCCTACCCAGCCTTGCTTCCCCTCTCACCCCACGCCCCATCCAGCCTTGCTTCCCCTCTCACCCCATGCCCTCTCCAGCCTTTCTTCCCCACTCACCCGACACTCTAAACTGCATTGCTTCCCCTCTCACCACCCGCCCTACCCAGCCTTGCTTCCCCTCTCATCCCACGCCCTATCCAGCCTTGCTTCCCCTCTCAACCCCCACCCCACCCAGCCTTGCTTCCTCACTCACCCGACACTCTAAACTGCATTGCTTCCCCTCTCACCCCCCGCCCTACCCAGCCTTGCTTCCCCGCTCACCTCACACTGTAAACTGTCTTGCTTCCCCTCTCACCCCACGCCCTACCCAGCCTTACTTCCTCACTCACCCCACGCGCTGCCCAGCCTTGCTTCCCCTCTCTCCCCACACTGTAAACTGTCTTGCGGTCCCTCTCACCCCACGCCCTACCTAGCCTTGCTTCCCCTCTCACCCCACGCCCTATCCAGCCTTGCTTCCCCTCTCACCCCATGCCCTACCCAGCCTTGCTTCCCCGCTCACCTCACACTCTAAACTGCCTTGCTACCCAGTCTTGCTTCCCTGCGTGCTGCCCAGCCCAGCTTCCCCTCTCTCCCCACACAGTATAAACTGCCTTGCTTCCCCTCTCTATCCACGCCCCACCCAGCCTTGCTTCCCCGCTCACCCCACACTATAAACTGTCTTGCTTCCCCTCTCACCCCACGCCATATCCAGACTTGCTTCCCCACTCACCCCGCGCCCTACCCAGCCTTGCTTCCCCTCTCAGACCACACTATATACTGTCCTGCTTCCCCTCTGACCCCACGCACTCCCCAGCCTTGATTCCCATCTCATCCCACGCCATATCCAGCCTTGCGTCCCTTCTCATCCCATGCCCTATCTATCCTTGCTCCCCCTCCCACCCCACGCCCTATCCAACATCCCTTCACTTCTCACCCCGCACCCTATCCAGCCTTGCTTCCCCACACCCCGCGCGCTGTCCACTCCCTAACCACCTCCCCAACCGGTCCGTATGTAGACTTGCCCCCCCTCGCACCCCGCTCCCATAGACCATTGCTGCATCGCAAACTCACCCCGAACTCACCCACCCTTGATCCCTTTCTCGTCCCGCGTCCTACAAACGCAGTACACTAGCCTGTCCACTCTTGCGCCACTTCCCCAACCACACCCTGTTTACCATTCCTCCCCTTCTCACCCCACGTCCTGTGTGCCCGTGCTATCCCGCCCAACATCGGCTCTATGTGGCGTGGCCATCCCTCCCAACCCAAGCGCAGAGGACCCTGGCTATTCCCCCCAACCAATGCTGTAAATAGGGTGGCAAACCCTCCCACCCTTAGCTATATTTTCGGCGGATGGATACCAGCTGCGACCCTCCTCCCGTCCCTGCGCCCTCTCCCTCCGTTCCTCCTCCTCCATCGCAGCGTGCTTCTTGCCCTCTCCCCCTATCCGCCTGTCTATCCCCTGTGACAGCGCTGCTATTTTCCTCTCTCCGCCAGCCTCTCTCTCCCTCTCTCTCTCTCTCTCTCTCTCTCTCTCTCTCTCTCTCTCTCTCTCTCTCTCTCTCTCTCTCTCTCTCTCTCTCTCTCTCTCTCTCTCTCTCTCTCTCTCTCTCTCTCTCTCTCTCTCTCTCTCTCTCTTCCCGTCTTCTCTTTGCCCTCTCCGCAGTCTCGTGTTTCGCCTCGGCCTGTCGGCGTCCATCTGCCATTCCCTAATAGCGCATTTATGCTTACAAGCTTTTATTAGATGTAGTGTCAGCTAGGGCGCGGGTCCACCTCCGCCCTCTTCCGGTGGGCTAAGCCCCCGGCCGCGCGTCTTTTCTGTTCCTCCGGCGATGGCAGCACGCCGCGCCGCACACTAGCCGCACCCACTTGCGATGCGGCTTTTCCGCGCGTCTTTTCTAACCTTATCCGCTCAGCCACGCTCCTGCCAGGTGGAATTGTCCAATATGGTGAGGTTTCTTGTGCAGCGGGAATGTGTCGGGTGTGTCTAGGTAGATACTGTTCTTGTCCCAATCTTTTCCAATGACAAGCGCGCGTAGTCTGAGTTATGCCTGGGCTATTGAGGGTGCTCCTCGCTTGTTTCTATGTGGGCGTGAGACATACAGTTCCGAACTCTCACATGTGGACGTCCACCTTTCCCTACCCATTCAATATTTGTTAGAATGTATTTCCAACATATCAAACCGCTCTCCACCTTGTCAAAGGTCGAACCTACTTGGTTATGTAACCGTATGTTCCACGCCCTGAGCATGGTTGGTGTTGGTGTGCTCGCGAGCTGGCGAGGGGTGGTTGCAGCAATCCCTAGCGCGCATGAATGCTGGTGATGCACAGGTGATTTTGTCCTTTTCCCACGGGCACATTTTATTGGGTTTGCATTTTGGTTTGCGAAGTTCGCACTCTCTCAAATCCCCCTGGGTGTTTCGTATTCCTGTTTCGTGAGTACTCCTTCCTTCGCGGCCAAAATGGGCCAGAAATCCCTGCAACCGAGCCTCCACCCAACCTCCTCCGAGCCTGGACCAGAGGGCGTTGACTTTCACGAACTAATTTGGGACCTGGGCTTTAAGAATTCCACAATTTTGCGTGGGTTGCGTCATACGGGCAGGTGGTACAATTTGATCGTGCACCTGTTCCAAGCTAAAGGAGAAGGGTTTTTTTTTCATGCCCCATATCGTCCTCTCCTCATCCCACTCTCCACTTATTCACATCGGCACGGCGGTCGGCGGTCAGGTATTGGCAGGCGTCGTGGGGGGGTGGCAACCACGGTCGTGGTGGCGATGGACTGACGGGCATGTGGTAAGAGGCGCCGCATTGGATCGTCCGCCGTTTCGTAACGTGCTAGCGTAAGGCGTATGGCTTACGTGCAGGCCTGGCTGAGTCAAGGCGCGTGTCGCGACCGAACGGTGGGATTGCATGCTCAGTAGTTGCCGTTGGGATTTGGTGGCAGGCTTGGATCCCCGTCGGATGTGTTAAACTTGCGGCGGGTGGAACCGGCTGGGGATCTTGTCCTGCATCGTTACTGGGGGCTCCGTGCCATGGGTGGCGATGGGGCACGCGTATGGGGGAATGGCGCGACGGGGCTGACTTGGGTGGACAGGGGGGAATCATGAGTTTCCCTCGCTGATCTAGTATCGTCGAGTAGGGCTCAGTGGATTGCGCGTGGAGTGCGTACCCTGAGAGTGCAAGAGATTGCACGAAAGGTCCCGCGTCAAACCTGTTTATGCTACTCTATGTGGCGTTTAGGTGGCTATGCTTATAGTATTTGCCCGTGATTACTAGTCTAGAAACTGCCGATGGACTTAGGACTTGAGTTCGGGGGGAGGTGGGCGAGAGTTTGGTAGGTGGTTTATCGCAGAGGTTGGGGGGTGTGTGGGTTGTTGCGCCAATCAGAAAGCATGTGACGGATTTGGAAAAGTCGCCCGTCAAAAAGGGTTACCATGTCAACTTGGGTTCGGGGTAAAAAACTTAGGACTTGACATTCGGGGATTTTGAGATCCTCGCTTTAAATATTGGAAAATGAACGGTTGTGGCACCTGAACACTTTGAGGTTCCAAATTGCAGTATGCACTGGACTTGACAACCCCCTTCCCCACCAGCCCCCAACTCCCCAGAAAGACTGCCCACATAACCCTCATCCCAACCCCTTTCAAACGCAGTGTGTTTGAGCACCGCGGCCTGCAATTTGGAACGCGGGCTTTAAAATAAATCCTTCTACGTGGGTGCCTGATTTCTGTTTTTCACAGAGCAGTCTAGGTCAACTAGACCAGGGCCCTTGCTAAGGTCTGGGGTATTCTGTTAGGTCACTGAATCGGCCCCAAAATTACCCGTTAGTGGACGGAATTGCTGAAACACTACCCGTTGAACTACGGATTTGTCGAAGAGCTACTCTTGGTTTGATACTACCATCCTCAAAGACAAATGGCCTTTGCCAAGGCTAAGGAAAAGTCTTTGAAACCCCAGGGACTGTTTCTTGCACATACTATGCCTCGGGCGACTTGAAGTGTCGAAAAACTTCCCGCTAACTAACCTCTCTCTCTGCTTAGTGGAGCTAGAGGGGAGAGTGGGAGGGGGTGATACACCACCAAGAACAGATCTCCTACTATAAGTGCACTACGTATGAAATCAAAGAATATTAACCCGCAATATCAAGGAATCACACGAAAATGAATCCGTTAGGCAGACTGAATCAAGAAAACTTTACTACACCGAAAAACGGAATTAGGTCGAAAACAACTCTTAATTTCGCGACATTAAGGGTAATTACCCTGTTAGCCAGAGCCCTGAACTAGGCTGCTTGGCATGGTTAGGAAATAGTAACATCACGCGCGCAGGAAAACGAGATGAAACGGGTCTTTTCGTGCGGTAGTACATAGTCAAGTTTGCTTTCATGTGAAAATGTCACCGGGCGAAGTCACTTTCCCGTGTTACGTGAGTGTGGCGCTGCGGTAAAACTCCAAGAAAATGTTTTGTTATGTGTTTGCGGAGTAACCTCCTGTGTTAGCGGGACCAATGCTAGTCACCTCTCGTATAAATTGCCCTAAAAAAATCAACAGAAAATGGTAACCAGAAAAAACAGTGAAGTGTTGTGCTGTACGAGTCAGCAATGAGCGTTACGCACAAAGAACCGTCGACAAGGCATTGAGGCAAAGATACGGGAAAGTCTTTATGCCTTACCAGCGTTTTACTCGTCGACAATCTTGGCTTCAATTTAGTGTCAACTCTTCAACTCTTGAAGAAGAAAATCCGCACGGTCGGAAACTGCACGACACAGGAGCAAGAGTTAATACATGATGTGGACAACACGTACATCGGAAGAGCAGCAACAAAAAATGGCGTATTCGTCTTACGCTTCAAGGCTGCAAAATCTTCCGAAGATGTCACTCTCCCTCAAGCTCCTTCAATCATTGCAGCAGCCGCTTTGGTAACCGTTCCACCGATTGAACTCAGCCGCAGCGAAGAAGAAACTCCTAGTAGCAGCCCCACCGACACACCTGCCGTTAATATCAAGAAAGATATTAGTCACGAATACGAAGAAATTCTGCAACTCGCACCTGAAAATCTCTTCGACGCGACAACTACTCTCGACAAGCCTTCAGATACGTCTTCAACTACCAGTATCTCAGAAAAAGGTTATGCACTCTCAAGGTTTCTCCTACCTTCATATTTCATGCTCTTGATTCTTGCTTGGCTGGCCATAGCAGCAAGCGAGCTCCGTACCCCGCTGCAAACTTTCCTACACTACAGAGAAGCCGCTTACCAGACTACGACTTCCACCGTCTACGAGCAAGGCACGGGCCTCAACTGCTACCAAACCCCTCGTCATCGCGTTCAACAATGCAATGAAGCAGAAGGGTTGAACAGTACCCTACACGAGCTACGTGAGCAGCTGCGTGCACTGCTGACTCAACAAATTTCTCTGCCCGTCACTTCACGATTCTCTGTCAAGCCTCCGGATGTTGTCGAGGCTCCTCTCCACTACGTGCAACACTCTCGTGGTTTTGCATTCGTCCCCTTTGGCCTTGCCACGTTCATTGGCGCAACCCCAACCACTTTCAACCCGACTCATTTTTACTCTGCCGAAGTGAGGGGGGGAAGGAGGATCTACACGCACTTCGTCAAAGCCAAAATTCGTCATCAACAAGGGAAGCACGCGATTGGTCTACCATTTGACCAATGGAATGACCGCCGACTACTTACAGCACATGAAGTTTACACGTCAGAAGATTCCAAATTGCAGATTTCATTCGCCGGACTCCAACCACGACGTGACTACATCGAACTTCCAGGAATGAAGGGGAGTGTTGTGGTAAATGAAGTTTCGCATTCCTGCAAGTTCCGTTTTCAGTGTAGTTAGCAGTATCGAGTTTCTCAGTAAGTAAACAGGTCCGAGTGCTGATGTCAGCAAAGCATCGTGGGTCTCGGCATGACGTCAGCATACTGCTTCAGTTACGCGATTAGGCGTAACGAACCGTTTCAGTCACGCGAACAGTCGCGGCCCTATAGTATGACGAATAGGTCGCATAGCGCGATGGTGACAAACAGGTACATTAGCGAACAGGTACTTTTCCTAGAGCTATAAATCCTTGTAATGCCTTTCTATTATTAACCTTGACTTTCCACAGAATTATGTGCTCAGGTTATTCAACCTTCGACTACCCACAAGTTCATGTGCTCAGGTTCACTCTGATAAGACTTCCGCTGTCTTACTAGTCTACCATTCCAGCAAAGATCCTTGGTTAAGTACTCGTGTTTGTAGATTCTATACTTAGTCTACTACAACACCAGATGTTTTATTTCATGGTATGAGAGCTATCTGGAATTAAGACTACCGTCAACTATGACTGGTTCATCACCAGCACCATCTGCTGGATCAGTTACTGGGACTACTGGAGCACATGTCTCCACTACTGCCACTGGTCTCTCAGCCTCTGGGCCATTACCACCAGCCTACGCTAATATCGGTATGCAACAGCAGAATCCACCTTCTGTCAATACTCCAGGTGCTCCATCGACTGCACCTGCAGCGCAACAGCAACAATCACAGACATCAGCACATCAACAAGCGTCGGTACAGCCACCAGTTTCAACGCAATCGATTTCATCTGCGTTCAGTGGAATGCGCCTTGACGGCTCAAGTTACATGTGTGGAGCTACAGCTCCAAGTACTGGTTCGTTCGCTTTCTCACCTTTCGTACAGCAGCCGCAGTCGCAGCAGTTTCAGCATCCTTTCTATATCTTCGGTCGTTCCCCTGCTCAGCAACAACAACAGCAGTATCAGCAACCACAGCCAGTACAGCAACAGCAACAGCAACAATAGCAGCAACAACAACAACAACAACAACAGCAACAGCAACAGCAACAACAGCAACAGCACGGCATTGTTTTTCAGCCTCCAAATTTACTTAACAATACTCAGATCAAGACAACTGTACCTTTTAATGGTGTTGACTTCTACTCCTGGAGCTTTGAGTTTGAGCTTCTGGCGCAGTCCGCTGGGCTATGGCCGTTCTTCACTGGCGAGTTTACGTATCGTATCGTGGGAACACAAGTGGAGCAGCAGAGTTTCTTGCACGCCTCTCTCGGGGCATATACAGTTCTTGTACGGAACCTGTCGCCGAAGGAGCAGCTCGGCGTCCGATCTTTTCACTCAAGTTTTACACCAGCCGAAACTGCATGGAATCATCGAAAGGGGTATACATGGCAAAGGATACGATAACAGTGAGTAAAATACTTTCGCAGCTGACAAGTGTGCAGATGATGACAAACGAAAATGTCATGGACTACGTTAACCGTGTCCGTACACTACGCGATCAACTGGAGAAAAGTGGAGGATACTTCCCTCGTGAGATGTATCTCACGGTCCTTCTTGCTGGCCTTGGACCCGAATGGCGACAGATGCGCGCCTTCCTGCGTATGAACCCAAACCTCTCCGAAGCTGAAATTTCGTCGTATCTTCAAGCAGAACAGCAAGATCTTGACCTGCAGTTACAACGCAACAAAAAGAGGGATATACAACTCAGTTTCTATTCAACACCAACTCGACGTCCTCGACACTTCTGTCAAATTTGCAACAAGGGAGGACATTCTACCGACCGATGCTATTTTAACAAGAAGTATTTACCTCATGAAGAATCGCAGAGGACGCAATCATCACAGCAACTACGACAGCCTTCGAAGCAGTTTTTGCAGAATCCTACGCCTCCAAAATCAGCATCTGCAATATCAACACCACCAACGACACTCAGTTCTGCCCCTCCAAGCAACTCATCAAAGCCGACAGCCACTACTTCAAACTCTGCCACTAATACGGTAACTTCAAATTTTCGTTTACCTACTTCATCCACTCACATGGTCAATTGCAGTACAGATACTGATACTTGGTACTTGGATAGTTGTTGTGGCCATCATATGGTCTCTTCAACCAATCCTTTCATCTACAACCGTCGTCGACTTCTTCAACCCTGCCCAATCACACTCGCCAACGGTCAAACAATTTCAGCAGAAAATATCGGCAGTCTACTTTTGACATCAATCGATACGGGAAAGTCTTTATGCCTTACCAGCGTTTTACTCGTCGACAATCTTGGCTTCAATTTAGTGTCAACTCTTCAACTCTTGAAGAAGAAAATCCGCACGGTCGGAAACTGCACGACACAGGAGCAAGAGTTAATACATGATGTGGACAACACGTACATCGGAAGAGCAGCAACAAAAAATGGCGTATTCGTCTTACGCTTCAAGGCTGCAAAATCTTCCGAAGATGTCACTCTCCCTCAAGCTCCTTCAATCATTGCAGCAGCCGCTTTGGTAACCGTTCCACCGATTGAACTCAGCCGCAGCGAAGAAGAAACTCCTAGTAGCAGCCCCACCGACACACCTGCCGTTAATATCAAGAAAGATATTAGTCACGAATACGAAGAAATTCTGCAACTCGCACCTGAAAATCTCTTCGACGCGACAACTACTCCCGACAAGCCTTCAGATACGTCTTCAACTACCAGTATCTCAGAAAAAGGTTATGCACTCTCAAGGTTTCTCCTACCTTCATATTTCATGCTCTTGATTCTTGCTTGGCTGGCCATAGCAGCAAGCGAGCTCCGTACCCCGCTGCAAACTTTCCTACACTACAGAGAAGCCGCTTACCAGACTACGACTTCCACCGTCTACGAGCAAGGCACGGGCCTCAACTGCTACCAAACCCCTCGTCATCGCGTTCAACAATGCAATGAAGCAGAAGGGTTGAACAGTACCCTACACGAGCTACGTGAGCAGCTGCGTGCACTGCTGACTCAACAAATTTCTCTGCCCGTCACTTCACGATTCTCTGTCAAGCCTCCGGATGTTGTCGAGGCTCCTCTCCACTACGTGCAACACTCTCGTGGTTTTGCATTCGTCCCCTTTGGCCTTGCCACGTTCATTGGCGCAACCCCAACCACTTTCAACCCGACTCATTTTTACTCTGCCGAAGTGAGGGGGGGAAGGAGGATCTACACGCACTTCGTCAAAGCCAAAATTCGTCATCAACAAGGGAAGCACGCGATTGGTCTACCATTTGACCAATGGAATGACCGCCGACTACTTACAGCACATGAAGTTTACACGTCAGAAGATTCCAAATTGCAGATTTCATTCGCCGGACTCCAACCACGACGTGACTACATCGAACTTCCAGGAATGAAGGGGAGTGTTGTGGTAAATGAAGTTTCGCATTCCTGCAAGTTCCGTTTTCAGTGTAGTTAGCAGTATCGAGTTTCTCAGTAAGTAAACAGGTCCGAGTGCTGATGTCAGCAAAGCATCGTGGGTCTCGGCATGACGTCAGCATACTGCTTCAGTTACGCGATTAGGCGTAACGAACCGTTTCAGTCACGCGAACAGTCGCGGCCCTATAGTATGACGAATAGGTCGCATAGCGCGATGGTGACAAACAGGTACATTAGCGAACAGGTACTTTTCCTAGAGCTATAAATCCTTGTAATGCCTTTCTATTATTAACCTTGACTTTCCACAGAATTATGTGCTCAGGTTATTCAACCTTCGACTACCCACAAGTTCATGTGCTCAGGTTCACTCTGATAAGACTTCCGCTGTCTTACTAGTCTACCATTCCAGCAAAGATCCTTGGTTAAGTACTCGTGTTTGTAGATTCTATACTTAGTCTACTACAACACCAGACGTTTTATTTCATGGTATGAGAGCTATCTGGAATTAAGACTACCGTCAACTATGACTGGTTCATCACCAGCACCATCTGCTGGATCAGTTACTGGGACTACTGGAGCACATGTCTCCACTACTGCCACTGGTCTCTCAGCCTCTGGGCCATTACCACCAGCCTACGCTAATATCGGTATGCAACAGCAGAATCCACCTTCTGTCAATACTCCAGGTGCTCCATCGACTGCACCTGCAGCGCAACAGCAACAATCACAGACATCAGCACATCAACAAGCGTCGGTACAGCCACCAGTTTCAACGCAATCGATTTCATCTGCGTTCAGTGGAATGAGCCTTGACGGCTCAAGTTACATGTGTGGAGCTACAACTCCAAGTACTGGTTCGTTCGCTTTCTCACCTTTCGTACAGCAGCCGCAGTCGCAGCAGTTTCAGCATCCTTTCTATATCTTCGGTCGTTCCCCTGCTCAGCAACAACAACAGCAGTATCAGCAACCACAGCCAGTACAGCAACAGCAACAGCAACAATAGCAGCAACAACAACAACAACAACAACAGCAACAGCAACAGCAACAACAGCAACAGCACGGCATTGTTTTTCAGCCTCCAAATTTACTTAACAATACTCAGATCAAGACAACCGTACCTTTTAATGGTGTTGACTTCTACTCCTGGAGCTTTGAGTTTGAGCTTCTGGCGCAGTCCGCTGGGCTATGGCCGTTCTTCACTGGCGAGTTTACGTATCCTGTCGTGGGAACACAAGTGGAGCAGCAGAGTTTCTTGCACGCCTCTCTCGGGGCATATACAGTTCTTGTACGGAACCTGTCGCCGAAGGAGCAGCTCGGCGTCCGATCTTTTCACTCAAGTTTTACACCAGCCGAAACTGCATGGAATCATCGAAAGGGGTATACATGGCAAAGGATACGATAACAGTGAGTAAAATACTTTCGCAGCTGACAAGTGTGCAGATGATGACAAACGAAAATGTCATGGACTACGTTAACCGTGTCCGTACACTACGCGATCAACTGGAGAAAAGTGGAGGATACTTCCCTCGTGAGATGTATCTCACGGTCCTTCTTGCTGGCCTTGGACCCGAATGGCGACAGATGCGCGCCTTCCTGCGTATGAACCCAAACCTCTCCGAAGCTGAAATTTCGTCGTATCTTCAAGCAGAACAGCAAGATCTTGACCTGCAGTTACAACGCAACAAAAAGAGGGATATACAACTCAGTTTCTATTCAACAGCAACTCGACGTCCTCGACACTTCTGTCAAATTTGCAACAAGGGAGGACATTCTACCGACCGATGCTATTTTAACAAGAAGTATTTACCTCATGAAGAATCGCAGAGGACGCAATCATCACAGCAACTACGACAGCCTTTGAAGCAGTTTTTGCAGAATCCTACGCCTCCAAAATCAGCATCTGCAATATCAACACCCCCAACGACACTCAGTTCTGCCCCTCCAAGCAACTCATCAAAGCCGACAGCCACTACTTCAAACTCTGCCACTAATACGGTAACTTCAAATTTTCGTTTACCTACTTCATCCACTCACATGGTCAATTGCAGTACAGATACTGATACTTGGTACTTGGATAGTTGTTGTGGCCATCATATGGTCTCTTCAACCAATCCTTTCATCTACAACCGTCGTCGACTTCTTCAACCCTGCCCAATCACACTCGCCAACGGTCAAACAATTTCAGCAGAAAATATCGGCAGTCTACTTTTGACATCAATCGATACGGGAAAGTCTTTATGCCTTACCAGCGTTTTACTCGTCGACAATCTTGGCTTCAATTTAGTGTCAACTCTTCAACTCTTGAAGAAGAAAATCCGCACGGTCGGAAACTGCACGACACAGGAGCAAGAGTTAATACATGATGTGGACAACACGTACATCGGAAGAGCAGCAACAAAAAATGGCGTATTCGTCTTACGCTTCAAGGCTGCAAAATCTTCCGAAGATGTCACTCTCCCTCAAGCTCCTTCAATCATTGCAGCAGCCGCTTTGGTAACCGTTCCACCGATTGAACTCAGCCGCAGCGAAGAAGAAACTCCTAGTAGCAGCCCCACCGACACACCTGCCGTTAATATCAAGAAAGATATTAGTCACGAATACGAAGAAATTCTGCAACTCGCACCTGAAAATCTCTTCGACGCGACAACTACTCTCGACAAGCCTTCAGATACGTCTTCAACTACCAGTATCTCAGAAAAAGGTTATGCACTCTCAAGGTTTCTCCTACCTTCATATTTCATGCTCTTGATTCTTGCTTGGCTGGCCATAGCAGCAAGCGAGCTCCGTACCCCGCTGCAAACTTTCCTACACTACAGAGAAGCCGCTTACCAGACTACGACTTCCACCGTCTACGAGCAAGGCACGGGCCTCAACTGCTACCAAACCCCTCGTCATCGCGTTCAACAATGCAATGAAGCAGAAGGGTTGAACAGTACCCTACACGAGCTACGTGAGCAGCTGCGTGCACTGCTGACTCAACAAATTTCTCTGCCCGTCACTTCACGATTCTCTGTCAAGCCTCCGGATGTTGTCGAGGCTCCTCTCCACTACGTGCAACACTCTCGTGGTTTTGCATTCGTCCCCTTTGGCCTTGCCACGTTCATTGGCGCAACCCCAACCACTTTCAACCCGACTCATTTTTACTCTGCCGAAGTGAGGGGGGGAAGGAGGATCTACACGCACTTCGTCAAAGCCAAAATTCGTCATCAACAAGGGAAGCACGCGATTGGTCTACCATTTGACCAATGGAATGACCGCCGACTACTTACAGCACATGAAGTTTACACGTCAGAAGATTCCAAATTGCAGATTTCATTCGCCGGACTCCAACCACGACGTGACTACATCGAACTTCCAGGAATGAAGGGGAGTGTTGTGGTAAATGAAGTTTCGCATTCCTGCAAGTTCCGTTTTCAGTGTAGTTAGCAGTATCGAGTTTCTCAGTAAGTAAACAGGTCCGAGTGCTGATGTCAGCAAAGCATCGTGGGTCTCGGCATGACGTCAGCATACTGCTTCAGTTACGCGATTAGGCGTAACGAACCGTTTCAGTCACGCGAACAGTCGCGGCCCTATAGTATGACGAATAGGTCGCATAGCGCGATGGTGACAAACAGGTACATTAGCGAACAGGTACTTTTCCTAGAGCTATAAATCCTTGTAATGCCTTTCTATTATTAACCTTGACTTTCCACAGAATTATGTGCTCAGGTTATTCAACCTTCGACTACCCACAAGTTCATGTGCTCAGGTTCACTCTGATAAGACTTCCGCTGTCTTACTAGTCTACCATTCCAGCAAAGATCCTTGGTTAAGTACTCGTGTTTGTAGATTCTATACTTAGTCTACTACAACACCAGACGTTTTATTTCATGGTATGAGAGCTATCTGGAATTAAGACTACCGTCAACTATGACTGGTTCATCACCAGCACCATCTGCTGGATCAGTTACTGGGACTACTGGAGCACATGTCTCCACTACTGCCACTGGTCTCTCAGCCTCTGGGCCATTACCACCAGCCTACGCTAATATCGGTATGCAACAGCAGAATCCACCTTCTGTCAATACTCCAGGTGCTCCATCGACTGCACCTGCAGCGCAACAGCAACAATCACAGACATCAGCACATCAACAAGCGTCGGTACAGCCACCAGTTTCAACGCAATCGATTTCATCTGCGTTCAGTGGAATGAGCCTTGACGGCTCAAGTTACATGTGTGGAGCTACAGCTCCAAGTACTGGTTCGTTCGCTTTCTCACCTTTCGTACAGCAGCCGCAGTCGCAGCAGTTTCAGCATCCTTTCTATATCTTCGGTCGTTCCCCTGCTCAGCAACAACAACAGCAGTATCAGCAACCACAGCCAGTACAGCAACAGCAACAGCAACAATAGCAGCAACAACAACAACAACAACAGCAACAGCAACAGCAACAACAGCAACAGCACGGCATTGTTTTTCAGCCTCCAAATTTACTTAACAATACTCAGATCAAGACAACCGTACCTTTTAATGGTGTTGACTTCTACTCCTGGAGCTTTGAGTTTGAGCTTCTGGCGCAGTCCGCTGGGCTATGGCCGTTCTTCACTGGCGAGTTTACGTATCCTGTCGTGGGAACACAAGTGGAGCAGCAGAGTTTCTTGCACGCCTCTCTCGGGGCATATACAGTTCTTGTACGGAACCTGTCGCCGAAGGAGCAGCTCGGCGTCCGATCTTTTCACTCAAGTTTTACACCAGCCGAAACTGCATGGAATCATCGAAAGGGGTATACATGGCAAAGGATACGATAACAGTGAGTAAAATACTTTCGCAGCTGACAAGTGTGCAGATGATGACAAACGAAAATGTCATGGACTACGTTAACCGTGTCCGTACACTACGCGATCAACTGGAGAAAAGTGGAGGATACTTCCCTCGTGAGATGTATCTCACGGTCCTTCTTGCTGGCCTTGGACCCGAATGGCGACAGATGCGCGCCTTCCTGCGTATGAACCCAAACCTCTCCGAAGCTGAAATTTCGTCGTATCTTCAAGCAGAACAGCAAGATCTTGACCTGCAGTTACAACGCAACAAAAAGAGGGATATACAACTCAGTTTCTATTCAACACCAACTCGACGTCCTCGACACTTCTGTCAAATTTGCAACAAGGGAGGACATTCTACCGACCGATGCTATTTTAACAAGAAGTATTTACCTCATGAAGAATCGCAGAGGACGCAATCATCACAGCAACTACGACAGCCTTCGAAGCAGTTTTTGCAGAATCCTACGCCTCCAAAATCAGCATCTGCAATATCAACACCACCAACGACACTCAGTTCTGCCCCTCCAAGCAACTCATCAAAGCCGACAGCCACTACTTCAAACTCTGCCACTAATACGGTAACTTCAAATTTTCGTTTACCTACTTCATCCACTCACATGGTCAATTGCAGTACAGATACTGATACTTGGTACTTGGATAGTTGTTGTGGCCATCATATGGTCTCTTCAACCAATCCTTTCATCTACAACCGTCGTCGACTTCTTCAACCCTGCCCAATCACACTCGCCAACGGTCAAACAATTTCAGCAGAAAATATCGGCAGTCTACTTTTGACATCAATCGATACGGGAAAGTCTTTATGCCTTACCAGCGTTTTACTCGTCGACAATCTTGGCTTCAATTTAGTGTCAACTCTTCAACTCTTGAAGAAGAAAATCCGCACGGTCGGAAACTGCACGACACAGGAGCAAGAGTTAATACATGATGTGGACAACACGTACATCGGAAGAGCAGCAACAAAAAATGGCGTATTCGTCTTACGCTTCAAGGCTGCAAAATCTTCCGAAGATGTCACTCTCCCTCAAGCTCCTTCAATCATTGCAGCAGCCGCTTTGGTAACCGTTCCACCGATTGAACTCAGCCGCAGCGAAGAAGAAACTCCTAGTAGCAGCCCCACCGACACACCTGCCGTTAATATCAAGAAAGATATTAGTCACGAATACGAAGAAATTCTGCAACTCGCACCTGAAAATCTCTTCGACGCGACAACTACTCTCGACAAGCCTTCAGATACGTCTTCAACTACCAGTATCTCAGAAAAAGGTTATGCACTCTCAAGGTTTCTCCTACCTTCATATTTCATGCTCTTGATTCTTGCTTGGCTGGCCATAGCAGCAAGCGAGCTCCGTACCCCGCTGCAAACTTTCCTACACTACAGAGAAGCCGCTTACCAGACTACGACTTCCACCGTCTACGAGCAAGGCACGGGCCTCAACTGCTACCAAACCCCTCGTCATCGCGTTCAACAATGCAATGAAGCAGAAGGGTTGAACAGTACCCTACACGAGCTACGTGAGCAGCTGCGTGCACTGCTGACTCAACAAATTTCTCTGCCCGTCACTTCACGATTCTCTGTCAAGCCTCCGGATGTTGTCGAGGCTCCTCTCCACTACGTGCAACACTCTCGTGGTTTTGCATTCGTCCCCTTTGGCCTTGCCACGTTCATTGGCGCAACCCCAACCACTTTCAACCCGACTCATTTTTACTCTGCCGAAGTGAGGGGGGGAAGGAGGATCTACACGCACTTCGTCAAAGCCAAAATTCGTCATCAACAAGGGAAGCACGCGATTGGTCTACCATTTGACCAATGGAATGACCGCCGACTACTTACAGCACATGAAGTTTACACGTCAGAAGATTCCAAATTGCAGATTTCATTCGCCGGACTCCAACCACGACGTGACTACATCGAACTTCCAGGAATGAAGGAGAGTGTTGTGGTAAATGAAGTTTCGCATTCCTGCAAGTTCCGTTTTCAGTGTAGTTAGCAGTATCGAGTTTCTCAGTAAGTAAACAGGTCCGAGTGCTGATGTCAGCAAAGCATCGTGGGTCTCGGCATGACGTCAGCATACTGCTTCAGTTACGCGATTAGGCGTAACGAACCGTTTCAGTCACGCGAACAGTCGCGGCCCTATAGTATGACGAATAGGTCGCATAGCGCGATGGTGACAAACAGGTACATTAGCGAACAGGTACTTTTCCTAGAGCTATAAATCCTTGTAATGCCTTTCTATTATTAACCTTGACTTTCCACAGAATTATGTGCTCAGGTTATTCAACCTTCGACTACCCACAAGTTCATGTGCTCAGGTTCACTCTGATAAGACTTCCGCTGTCTTACTAGTCTACCATTCCAGCAAAGATCCTTGGTTAAGTACTCGTGTTTGTAGATTCTATACTTAGTCTACTACAACACCAGACGTTTTATTTCATGGTATGAGAGCTATCTGGAATTAAGACTACCGTCAACTATGACTGGTTCATCACCAGCACCATCTGCTGGATCAGTTACTGGGACTACTGGAGCACATGTCTCCACTACTGCCACTGGTCTCTCAGCCTCTGGGCCATTACCACCAGCCTACGCTAATATCGGTATGCAACAGCAGAATCCACCTTCTGTCAATACTCCAGGTGCTCCATCGACTGCACCTGCAGCGCAACAGCAACAATCACAGACATCAGCACATCAACAAGCGTCGGTACAGCCACCAGTTTCAACGCAATCGATTTCATCTGCGTTCAGTGGAATGAGCCTTGACGGCTCAAGTTACATGTGTGGAGCTACAACTCCAAGTACTGGTTCGTTCGCTTTCTCACCTTTCGTACAGCAGCCGCAGTCGCAGCAGTTTCAGCATCCTTTCTATATCTTCGGTCGTTCCCCTGCTCAGCAACAACAACAGCAGTATCAGCAACCACAGCCAGTACAGCAACAGCAACAATAGCAGCAACAACAACAACAACAACAACAACAGCAACAGCAACAGCAACAACAGCAACAGCACGGCATTGTTTTTCAGCCTCCAAATTTACTTAACAATACTCAGATCAAGACAACCGTACCTTTTAATGGTGTTGACTTCTACTCCTGGAGCTTTGAGTTTGAGCTTCTGGCGCAGTCCGCTGGGCTATGGCCGTTCTTCACTGGCGAGTTTACGTATCCTGTCGTGGGAACACAAGTGGAGCAGCAGAGTTTCTTGCACGCCTCTCTCGGGGCATATACAGTTCTTGTACGGAACCTGTCGCCGAAGGAGCAGCTCGGCGTCCGATCTTTTCACTCAAGTTTTACACCAGCCGAAACTGCATGGAATTATCGAAAGGGGTATACATGGCAAAGGATACGATAACAGTGAGTAAAATACTTTCGCAGCTGACAAGTGTGCAGATGATGACAAACGAAAATGTCATGGACTACGTTAACCGTGTCCGTACACTACGCGATCAACTGGAGAAAAGTGGAGGATACTTCCCTCGTGAGATGTATCTCACGGTCCTTCTTGCTGGCCTTGGACCCGAATGGCGACAGATGCGCGCCTTCCTGCGTATGAACCCAAACCTCTCCGAAGCTGAAATTTCGTCGTATCTTCAAGCAGAACAGCAAGATCTTGACCTGCAGTTACAACGCAACAAAAAGAGGGATATACAACTCAGTTTCTATTCAACAGCAACTCGACGTCCTCGACACTTCTGTCAAATTTGCAACAAGGGAGGACATTCTACCGACCGATGCTATTTTAACAAGAAGTATTTACCTCATGAAGAATCGCAGAGGACGCAATCATCACAGCAACTACGACAGCCTTCGAAGCAGTTTTTGCAGAATCCTACGCCTCCAAAATCAGCATCTGCAATATCAACACCACCAACGACACTCAGTTCTGCCCCTCCAAGCAACTCATCAAAGCCGACAGCCACTACTTCAAACTCTGCCACTAATACGGTAACTTCAAATTTTCGTTTACCTACTTCATCCACTCACATGGTCAATTGCAGTACAGATACTGATACTTGGTACTTGGATAGTTGTTGTGGCCATCATATGGTCTCTTCAACCAATCCTTTCATCTACAACCGTCGTCGACTTCTTCAACCCTGCCCAATCACACTCGCCAACGGTCAAACAATTTCAGCAGAAAATATCGGCAGTCTACTTTTGACATCAATCGATACGGGAAAGTCTTTATGCCTTACCAGCGTTTTACTCGTCGACAATCTTGGCTTCAATTTAGTGTCAACTCTTCAACTCTTGAAGAAGAAAATCCGCACGGTCGGAAACTGCACGACACAGGAGCAAGAGTTAATACATGATGTGGACAACACGTACATCGGAAGAGCAGCAACAAAAAATGGCGTATTCGTCTTACGCTTCAAGGCTGCAAAATCTTCCGAAGATGTCACTCTCCCTCAAGCTCCTTCAATCATTGCAGCAGCCGCTTTGGTAACCGTTCCACCGATTGAACTCAGCCGCAGCGAAGAAGAAACTCCTAGTAGCAGCCCCACCGACACACCTGCCGTTAATATCAAGAAAGATATTAGTCACGAATACGAAGAAATTCTGCAACTCGCACCTGAAAATCTCTTCGACGCGACAACTACTCTCGACAAGCCTTCAGATACGTCTTCAACTACCAGTATCTCAGAAAAAGGTTATGCACTCTCAAGGTTTCTCCTACCTTCATATTTCATGCTCTTGATTCTTGCTTGGCTGGCCATAGCAGCAAGCGAGCTCCGTACCCCGCTGCAAACTTTCCTACACTACAGAGAAGCCGCTTACCAGACTACGACTTCCACCGTCTACGAGCAAGGCACGGGCCTCAACTGCTACCAAACCCCTCGTCATCGCGTTCAACAATGCAATGAAGCAGAAGGGTTGAACAGTACCCTACACGAGCTACGTGAGCAGCTGCGTGCACTGCTGACTCAACAAATTTCTCTGCCCGTCACTTCACGATTCTCTGTCAAGCCTCCGGATGTTGTCGAGGCTCCTCTCCACTACGTGCAACACTCTCGTGGTTTTGCATTCGTCCCCTTTGGCCTTGCCACGTTCATTGGCGCAACCCCAACCACTTTCAACCCGACTCATTTTTACTCTGCCGAAGTGAGGGGGGGAAGGAGGATCTACACGCACTTCGTCAAAGCCAAAATTCGTCATCAACAAGGGAAGCACGCGATTGGTCTACCATTTGACCAATGGAATGACCGCCGACTACTTACAGCACATGAAGTTTACACGTCAGAAGATTCCAAATTGCAGATTTCATTCGCCGGACTCCAACCACGACGTGACTACATCGAACTTCCAGGAATGAAGGGGAGTGTTGTGGTAAATGAAGTTTCGCATTCCTGCAAGTTCCGTTTTCAGTGTAGTTAGCAGTATCGAGTTTCTCAGTAAGTAAACAGGTCCGAGTGCTGATGTCAGCAAAGCATCGTGGGTCTCGGCATGACGTCAGCATACTGCTTCAGTTACGCGATTAGGCGTAACGAACCGTTTCAGTCACGCGAACAGTCGCGGCCCTATAGTATGACGAATAGGTCGCATAGCGCGATGGTGACAAACAGGTACATTAGCGAACAGGTACTTTTCCTAGAGCTATAAATCCTTGTAATGCCTTTCTATTATTAACCTTGACTTTCCACAGAATTATGTGCTCAGGTTATTCAACCTTCGACTACCCACAAGTTCATGTGCTCAGGTTCACTCTGATAAGACTTCCGCTGTCTTACTAGTCTACCATTCCAACAAAGATCCTTGGTTAAGTACTCGTGTTTGTAGATTCTATACTTAGTCTACTACAACACCAGACGTTTTATTTCATGGTATGAGAGCTATCTGGAATTAAGACTACCGTCAACTATGACTGGTTCATCACCAGCACCATCTGCTGGATCAGTTACTGGGACTACTGGAGCACATGTCTCCACTACTGCCACTGGTCTCTCAGCCTCTGGGCCATTACCACCAGCCTACGCTAATATCGGTATGCAACAGCAGAATCCACCTTCTGTCAATACTCCAGGTGCTCCATCGACTGCACCTGCAGCGCAACAGCAACAATCACAGACATCAGCACATCAACAAGCGTCGGTACAGCCACCAGTTTCAACGCAATCGATTTCATCTGCGTTCAGTGGAATGAGCCTTGACGGCTCAAGTTACATGTGTGGAGCTACAACTCCAAGTACTGGTTCGTTCGCTTTCTCACCTTTCGTACAGCAGCCGCAGTCGCAGCAGTTTCAGCATCCTTTCTATATCTTCGGTCGTTCCCCTGCTCAGCAACAACAACAGCAGTATCAGCAACCACAGCCAGTACAGCAACAGCAACAGCAACAATAGCAGCAACAACAACAACAACAACAACAGCAACAGCAACAGCAACAACAGCAACAGCACGGCATTGTTTTTCAGCCTCCAAATTTACTTAACAATACTCAGATCAAGACAACCGTACCTTTTAATGGTGTTGACTTCTACTCCTGGAGCTTTGAGTTTGAGCTTCTGGCGCAGTCCGCTGGGCTATGGCCGTTCTTCACTGGCGAGTTTACGTATCCTGTCGTGGGAACACAAGTGGAGCAGCAGAGTTTCTTGCACGCCTCTCTCGGGGCATATACAGTTCTTGTACGGAACCTGTCGCCGAAGGAGCAGCTCGGCGTCCGATCTTTTCACTCAAGTTTTACACCAGCCGAAACTGCATGGAATCATCGAAAGGGGTATACATGGCAAAGGATACGATAACAGTGAGTAAAATACTTTCGCAGCTGACAAGTGTGCAGATGATGACAAACGAAAATGTCATGGACTACGTTAACCGTGTCCGTACACTACGCGATCAACTGGAGAAAAGTGGAGGATACTTCCCTCGTGAGATGTATCTCACGGTCCTTCTTGCTGGCCTTGGACCCGAATGGCGACAGATGCGCGCCTTCCTGCGTATGAACCCAAACCTCTCCGAAGCTGAAATTTCGTCGTATCTTCAAGCAGAACAGCAAGATCTTGACCTGCAGTTACAACGCAACAAAAAGAGGGATATACAACTCAGTTTCTATTCAACACCAACTCGACGTCCTCGACACTTCTGTCAAATTTGCAACAAGGGAGGACATTCTACCGACCGATGCTATTTTAACAAGAAGTATTTACCTCATGAAGAATCGCAGAGGACGCAATCATCACAGCAACTACGACAGCCTTCGAAGCAGTTTTTGCAGAATCCTACGCCTCCAAAATCAGCATCTGCAATATCAACACCACCAACGACACTCAGTTCTGCCCCTCCAAGCAACTCATCAAAGCCGACAGCCACTACTTCAAACTCTGCCACTAATACGGTAACTTCAAATTTTCGTTTACCTACTTCATCCACTCACATGGTCAATTGCAGTACAGATACTGATACTTGGTACTTGGATAGTTGTTGTGGCCATCATATGGTCTCTTCAACCAATCCTTTCATCTACAACCGTCGTCGACTTCTTCAACCCTGCCCAATCACACTCGCCAACGGTCAAACAATTTCAGCAGAAAATATCGGCAGTCTACTTTTGACATCAATCGATACGGGAAAGTCTTTATGCCTTACCAGCGTTTTACTCGTCGACAATCTTGGCTTCAATTTAGTGTCAACTCTTCAACTCTTGAAGAAGAAAATCCGCACGGTCGGAAACTGCACGACACAGGAGCAAGAGTTAATACATGATGTGGACAACACGTACATCGGAAGAGCAGCAACAAAAAATGGCGTATTCGTCTTACGCTTCAAGGCTGCAAAATCTTCCGAAGATGTCACTCTCCCTCAAGCTCCTTCAATCATTGCAGCAGCCGCTTTGGTAACCGTTCCACCGATTGAACTCAGCCGCAGCGAAGAAGAAACTCCTAGTAGCAGCCCCACCGACACACCTGCCGTTAATATCAAGAAAGATATTAGTCACGAATACGAAGAAATTCTGCAACTCGCACCTGAAAATCTCTTCGACGCGACAACTACTCTCGACAAGCCTTCAGATACGTCTTCAACTACCAGTATCTCAGAAAAAGGTTATGCACTCTCAAGGTTTCTCCTACCTTCATATTTCATGCTCTTGATTCTTGCTTGGCTGGCCATAGCAGCAAGCGAGCTCCGTACCCCGCTGCAAACTTTCCTACACTACAGAGAAGCCGCTTACCAGACTACGACTTCCACCGTCTACGAGCAAGGCACGGGCCTCAACTGCTACCAAACCCCTCGTCATCGCGTTCAACAATGCAATGAAGCAGAAGGGTTGAACAGTACCCTACACGAGCTACGTGAGCAGCTGCGTGCACTGCTGACTCAACAAATTTCTCTGCCCGTCACTTCACGATTCTCTGTCAAGCCTCCGGATGTTGTCGAGGCTCCTCTCCACTACGTGCAACACTCTCGTGGTTTTGCATTCGTCCCCTTTGGCCTTGCCACGTTCATTGGCGCAACCCCAACCACTTTCAACCCGACTCATTTTTACTCTGCCGAAGTGAGGGGGGGAAGGAGGATCTACACGCACTTCGTCAAAGCCAAAATTCGTCATCAACAAGGGAAGCACGCGATTGGTCTACCATTTGACCAATGGAATGACCGCCGACTACTTACAGCACATGAAGTTTACACGTCAGAAGATTCCAAATTGCAGATTTCATTCGCCGGACTCCAACCACGACGTGACTACATCGAACTTCCAGGAATGAAGGGGAGTGTTGTGGTAAATGAAGTTTCGCATTCCTGCAAGTTCCGTTTTCAGTGTAGTTAGCAGTATCGAGTTTCTCAGTAAGTAAACAGGTCCGAGTGCTGATGTCAGCAAAGCATCGTGGGTCTCGGCATGACGTCAGCATACTGCTTCAGTTACGCGATTAGGCGTAACGAACCGTTTCAGTCACGCGAACAGTCGCGGCCCTATAGTATGACGAATAGGTCGCATAGCGCGATGGTGACAAACAGGTACATTAGCGAACAGGTACTTTTCCTAGAGCTATAAATCCTTGTAATGCCTTTCTATTATTAACCTTGACTTTCCACAGAATTATGTGCTCAGGTTATTCAACCTTCGACTACCCACAAGTTCATGTGCTCAGGTTCACTCTGATAAGACTTCCGCTGTCTTACTAGTCTACCATTCCAGCAAAGATCCTTGGTTAAGTACTCGTGTTTGTAGATTCTATACTTAGTCTACTACAACACCAGACGTTTTATTTCATGGTATGAGAGCTATCTGGAATTAAGACTACCGTCAACTATGACTGGTTCATCACCAGCACCATCTGCTGGATCAGTTACTGGGACTACTGGAGCACATGTCTCCACTACTGCCACTGGTCTCTCAGCCTCTGGGCCATTACCACCAGCCTACGCTAATATCGGTATGCAACAGCAGAATCCACCTTCTGTCAATACTCCAGGTGCTCCATCGACTGCACCTGCAGCGCAACAGCAACAATCACAGACATCAGCACATCAACAAGCGTCGGTACAGCCACCAGTTTCAACGCAATCGATTTCATCTGCGTTCAGTGGAATGAGCCTTGACGGCTCAAGTTACATGTGTGGAGCTACAACTCCAAGTACTGGTTCGTTCGCTTTCTCACCTTTCGTACAGCAGCCGCAGTCGCAGCAGTTTCAGCATCCTTTCTATATCTTCGGTCGTTCCCCTGCTCAGCAACAACAACAGCAGTATCAGCAACCACAGCCAGTACAGCAACAGCAACAGCAACAATAGCAGCAACAACAACAACAACAACAACAGCAACAGCAACAGCAACAACAGCAACAGCACGGCATTGTTTTTCAGCCTCCAAATTTACTTAACAATACTCAGATCAAGACAACCGTACCTTTTAATGGTGTTGACTTCTACTCCTGGAGCTTTGAGTTTGAGCTTCTGGCGCAGTCCGCTGGGCTATGGCCGTTCTTCACTGGCGAGTTTACGTATCCTGTCGTGGGAACACAAGTGGAGCAGCAGAGTTTCTTGCACGCCTCTCTCGGGGCATATACAGTTCTTGTACGGAACCTGTCGCCGAAGGAGCAGCTCGGCGTCCGATCTTTTCACTCAAGTTTTACACCAGCCGAAACTGCATGGAATCATCGAAAGGGGTATACATGGCAAAGGATACGATAACAGTGAGTAAAATACTTTCGCAGCTGACAAGTGTGCAGATGATGACAAACGAAAATGTCATGGACTACGTTAACCGTGTCCGTACACTACGCGATCAACTGGAGAAAAGTGGAGGATACTTCCCTCGTGAGATGTATCTCACGGTCCTTCTTGCTGGCCTTGGACCCGAATGGCGACAGATGCGCGCCTTCCTGCGTATGAACCCAAACCTCTCCGAAGCTGAAATTTCGTCGTATCTTCAAGCAGAACAGCAAGATCTTGACCTGCAGTTACAACGCAACAAAAAGAGGGATATACAACTCAGTTTCTATTCAACAGCAACTCGACGTCCTCGACACTTCTGTCAAATTTGCAACAAGGGAGGACATTCTACCGACCGATGCTATTTTAACAAGAAGTATTTACCTCATGAAGAATCGCAGAGGACGCAATCATCACAGCAACTACGACAGCCTTTGAAGCAGTTTTTGCAGAATCCTACGCCTCCAAAATCAGCATCTGCAATATCAACACCCCCAACGACACTCAGTTCTGCCCCTCCAAGCAACTCATCAAAGCCGACAGCCACTACTTCAAACTCTGCCACTAATACGGTAACTTCAAATTTTCGTTTACCTACTTCATCCACTCACATGGTCAATTGCAGTACAGATACTGATACTTGGTACTTGGATAGTTGTTGTGGCCATCATATGGTCTCTTCAACCAATCCTTTCATCTACAACCGTCGTCGACTTCTTCAACCCTGCCCAATCACACTCGCCAACGGTCAAACAATTTCAGCAGAAAATATCGGCAGTCTACTTTTGACATCAATCGATACGGGAAAGTCTTTATGCCTTACCAGCGTTTTACTCGTCGACAATCTTGGCTTCAATTTAGTGTCAACTCTTCAACTCTTGAAGAAGAAAATCCGCACGGTCGGAAACTGCACGACACAGGAGCAAGAGTTAATACATGATGTGGACAACACGTACATCGGAAGAGCAGCAACAAAAAATGGCGTATTCGTCTTACGCTTCAAGGCTGCAAAATCTTCCGAAGATGTCACTCTCCCTCAAGCTCCTTCAATCATTGCAGCAGCCGCTTTGGTAACCGTTCCACCGATTGAACTCAGCCGCAGCGAAGAAGAAACTCCTAGTAGCAGCCCCACCGACACACCTGCCGTTAATATCAAGAAAGATATTAGTCACGAATACGAAGAAATTCTGCAACTCGCACCTGAAAATCTCTTCGACGCGACAACTACTCTCGACAAGCCTTCAGATACGTCTTCAACTACCAGTATCTCAGAAAAAGGTTATGCACTCTCAAGGTTTCTCCTACCTTCATATTTCATGCTCTTGATTCTTGCTTGGCTGGCCATAGCAGCAAGCGAGCTCCGTACCCCGCTGCAAACTTTCCTACACTACAGAGAAGCCGCTTACCAGACTACGACTTCCACCGTCTACGAGCAAGGCACGGGCCTCAACTGCTACCAAACCCCTCGTCATCGCGTTCAACAATGCAATGAAGCAGAAGGGTTGAACAGGACCCTACACGAGCTACGTGAGCAGCTGCGTGCACTGCTGACTCAACAAATTTCTCTGCCCGTCACTTCACGATTCTCTGTCAAGCCTCCGGATGTTGTCGAGGCTCCTCTCCACTACGTGCAACACTCTCGTGGTTTTGCATTCGTCCCCTTTGGCCTTGCCACGTTCATTGGCGCAACCCCAACCACTTTCAACCCGACTCATTTTTACTCTGCCGAAGTGAGGGGGGGAAGGAGGATCTACACGCACTTCACTTCAAGCCAAAATTCGTCATCAACAAGGGAAGCACGCGATTGGTCTACCATTTGACCAATGGAATGACCGCCGACTACTTACAGCACATGAAGTTTACACGTCAGAAGATTCCAAATTGCAGATTTCATTCGCCGGACTCCAACCACGACGTGACTACATCGAACTTCCAGGAATGAAGGGGAGTGTTGTGGTAAATGAAGTTTCGCATTCCTGCAAGTTCCGTTTTCAGTGTAGTTAGCAGTATCGAGTTTCTCAGTAAGTAAACAGGTCCGAGTGCTGATGTCAGCAAAGCATCGTGGGTCTCGGCATGACGTCAGCATACTGCTTCAGTTACGCGATTAGGCGTAACGAACCGTTTCAGTCACGCGAACAGTCGCGGCCCTATAGTATGACGAATAGGTCGCATAGCGCGATAGTGACAAACAGGTACATTAGCGAACAGGTACTTTTCCTAGAGCTATAAATCCTTGTAATGCCTTTCTATTATTAACCTTGACTTTCCACAGAATTATGTGCTCAGGTTATTCAACCTTCGACTACCCACAAGTTCATGTGCTCAGGTTCACTCTGATAAGACTTCCGCTGTCTTACTAGTCTACCATTCCAGCAAAGATCCTTGGTTAAGTACTCGTGTTTGTAGATTCTATACTTAGTCTACTACAACACCAGACGTTTTATTTCATGGTATGAGAGCTATCTGGAATTAAGACTACCGTCAACTATGACTGGTTCATCACCAGCACCATCTGCTGGATCAGTTACTGGGACTACTGGAGCACATGTCTCCACTACTGCCACTGGTCTCTCAGCCTCTGGGCCATTACCACCAGCCTACGCTAATATCGGTATGCAACAGCAGAATCCACCTTCTGTCAATACTCCAGGTGCTCCATCGACTGCACCTGCAGCGCAACAGCAACAATCACAGACATCAGCACATCAACAAGCGTCGGTACAGCCACCAGTTTCAACGCAATCGATTTCATCTGCGTTCAGTGGAATGAGCCTTGACGGCTCAAGTTACATGTGTGGAGCTACAGCTCCAAGTACTGGTTCGTTCGCTTTCTCACCTTTCGTACAGCAGCCGCAGTCGCAGCAGTTTCAGCATCCTTTCTATATCTTCGGTCGTTCCCCTGCTCAGCAACAATAACAGCAGTATCAGCAACCACAGCCAGTACAGCAACAGCAACAGCAACAATAGCAGCAACAACAACAACAACAACAGCAACAGCAACAGCAACAACAGCAACAGCACGGCATTGTTTTTCAGCCTCCAAATTTACTTAACAATACTCAGATCAAGACAACCGTACCTTTTAATGGTGTTGACTTCTACTCCTGGAGCTTTGAGTTTGAGCTTCTGGCGCAGTCCGCTGGGCTATGGCCGTTCTTCACTGGCGAGTTTACGTATCCTGTCGTGGGAACACAAGTGGAGCAGCAGAGTTTCTTGCACGCCTCTCTCGGGGCATATACAGTTCTTGTACGGAACCTGTCGCCGAAGGAGCAGCTCGGCGTCCGATCTTTTCACTCAAGTTTTACACCAGCCGAAACTGCATGGAATTATCGAAAGGGGTATACATGGCAAAGGATACGATAACAGTGAGTAAAATACTTTCGCAGCTGACAAGTGTGCAGATGATGACAAACGAAAATGTCATGGACTACGTTAACCGTGTCCGTACACTACGCGATCAACTGGAGAAAAGTGGAGGATACTTCCCTCGTGAGATGTATCTCACGGTCCTTCTTGCTGGCCTTGGACCCGAATGGCGACAGATGCGCGCCTTCCTGCGTATGAACCCAAACCTCTCCGAAGCTGAAATTTCGTCGTATCTTCAAGCAGAACAGCAAGATCTTGACCTGCAGTTACAACGCAACAAAAAGAGGGATATACAACTCAGTTTCTATTCAACAGCAACTCGACGTCCTCGACACTTGTGTCAAATTTGCAACAAGGGAGGACATTCTACCGACCGATGCTATTTTAACAAGAAGTATTTACCTCATGAAGAATCGCAGAGGACGCAATCATCACAGCAACTACGACAGCCTTCGAAGCAGTTTTTGCAGAATCCTACGCCTCCAAAATCAGCATCTGCAATATCAACACCACCAACGACACTCAGTTCTGCCCCTCCAAGCAACTCATCAAAGCCGACAGCCACTACTTCAAACTCTGCCACTAATACGGTAACTTCAAATTTTCGTTTACCTACTTCATCCACTCACATGGTCAATTGCAGTACAGATACTGATACTTGGTACTTGGATAGTTGTTGTGGCCATCATATGGTCTCTTCAACCAATCCTTTCATCTACAACCGTCGTCGACTTCTTCAACCCTGCCCAATCACACTCGCCAACGGTCAAACAATTTCAGCAGAAAATATCGGCAGTCTACTTTTGACATCAATCGATATGGGAAAGTCTTTATGCCTTACCAGCGTTTTACTCGTCGACAATCTTGGCTTCAATTTAGTGTCAACTCTTCAACTCTTGAAGAAGAAAATCCGCACGGTCGGAAACTGCACGACACAGGAGCAAGAGTTAATACATGATGTGGACAACACGTACATCGGAAGAGCAGCAACAAAAAATGGCGTATTCGTCTTACGCTTCAAGGCTGCAAAATCTTCCGAAGATGTCACTCTCCCTCAAGCTCCTTCAATCATTGCAGCAGCCGCTTTGGTAACCGTTCCACCGATTGAACTCAGCCGCAGCGAAGAAGAAACTCCTAGTAGCAGCCCCACCGACACACCTGCCGTTAATATCAAGAAAGATATTAGTCACGAATACGAAGAAATTCTGCAACTCGCACCTGAAAATCTCTTCGACGCGACAACTACTCTCGACAAGCCTTCAGATACGTCTTCAACTACCAGTATCTCAGAAAAAGGTTATGCACTCTCAAGGTTTCTCCTACCTTCATATTTCATGCTCTTGATTCTTGCTTGGCTGGCCATAGCAGCAAGCGAGCTCCGTACCCCGCTGCAAACTTTCCTACACTACAGAGAAGCCGCTTACCAGACTACGACTTCCACCGTCTACGAGCAAGGCACGGGCCTCAACTGCTACCAAACCCCTCGTCATCGCGTTCAACAATGCAATGAAGCAGAAGGGTTGAACAGGACCCTACACGAGCTACGTGAGCAGCTGCGTGCACTGCTGACTCAACAAATTTCTCTGCCCGTCACTTCACGATTCTCTGTCAAGCCTCCGGATGTTGTCGAGGCTCCTCTCCACTACGTGCAACACTCTCGTGGTTTTGCATTCGTCCCCTTTGGCCTTGCCACGTTCATTGGCGCAACCCCAACCACTTTCAACCCGACTCATTTTTACTCTGCCGAAGTGAGGGGGGGAAGGAGGATCTACACGCACTTCGTCAAAGCCAAAATTCGTCATCAACAAGGGAAGCACGCGATTGGTCTACCATTTGACCAATGGAATGACCGCCGACTACTTACAGCACATGAAGTTTACACGTCAGAAGATTCCAAATTGCAGATTTCATTCGCCGGACTCCAACCACGACGTGACTACATCGAACTTCCAGGAATGAAGGGGAGTGTTGTGGTAAATGAAGTTTCGCATTCCTGCAAGTAACCATTTGAAGCTCTTTCTAGGTCGCGTTTTCAAAAGTTACATGTCCTTCTCACTTTCTATGAAACAACCTTTACGACAGCAATGCAAAATTGGTGCCATTTGTCGAACCCTCCTATGTCGAAATGACGTCAGCCAAGTATAGTACACATGCGTAACCTTATCACTATCTGAATACCACCTAACAGCGACAACCCATTCCGCCCTCCATTCATGAAACATTGCCCCCCCACGCCCTTTCAAGCAACATCTCGTTCAACTCCCTCCTCACATCTCCAGATCTAGCTGCTCACTTCTTGTTTCTGCGTTTTTTCTGTACCCATTCCCTTCCGTAGTTGGAACTTCAGCAGACTAGCATTAGATAATATGTTTGCCTCTACATTTCTGTGTCTTTTTCTCCCGCATACCTTCCCCCCTTCTAGCGGCCTCTTTTTTTCAATGTGCGACCCTTCTGTGCCGGCTGCTAATCGCATTCCCCCGTGCAACATTTGTCATTTCACCCACTTCTATGATGTTGTTTGGGTCAGATCCTCTTTCAACGAAACGGGATGGTCAGCGATTGTATTATCCCGTCAACTACTCCGACTGGAAGTTCGGTATTTTCATGGGAGTCGCCATGCCTTGTAGTCGGACGTCAAACATTTTCACTCTATTTACACTAGTCTTTGTTATGCAATTTCGGTATAAAGAGATGCTTTTGTTGCATCCTATGGTCTGCGTTCTAAACAATTATGTCTGGGATGCTTTTCTCCCCTTGTTTATTATCCAGCGTAGCCGAACTTGTTACTGTCTGCATGTTCCTTCTTAATTTTAGGAGGTGGTTCATACTGTGCAGGCTTGGTGTGTTGCAAAACACCCGCTAGTGTCGAGCTTTTATTTTTGCATGTGGTATCTTCGTCCGCCTCCTGGTGTAGCAGGCCTTTTGTATCGTTTCTTCGCGTAGAGATGTTGCTGCTGAGATATATATAATCTTTCTTTTGAACGGTTTGCATAGGTCTGATTCAATTTTGCCACGCAAGTACTATCAAACATATTTGTATATGTTATAATAGGCAAGATAGGTGCATGCTCTTAGAGGGTACAACACTTGCACAAAATCAACCAGTATGTTACATTCTAGTTAACTTTTCTACTCTAAGATGGTATCACGCGCTAGGTTAGGTCCTCTCCACCCACCCACGCTTCCGCCCTCTTCCTGGCCCTAGCCGCTCATTCCTAGCCATCCCTTAGCGCCCCGTCGGCCCCGTGCGCCCCGCCGGTCCCATTAGCCCCGTAAGCCCGTTAGCGTTCCGTCGGCCCCATGTGCCCTCATGCCCCTATTAGCGCCTCGTCGGCTCCGTCGGCCCCGTGCGCCCTCTCAACCCCATCGGCCCCGTCGGCCCCGTGAGCCCTCTCGGCCCCGTTAGCGCCCCATCGGCCCCGTGCGCCCTCTCGGCCCCGTTAGCACCCCTTCGGCCCCATTGGCCTTGTGCACCCCACCAGCCCATTAGCGCCTCACCGACCCGCTCGTGCCCTCCCGGCCCCATTAGCGCCCTGTTAGCCCCGTGCGCCCCTATGGCCCCATTCGTCCCGCCGGCCAATTAGCGCCCCGCCAGCCCACTCGCGCCCTCCCGGCCCCGTTAGCGACCCATTGACCCCGTGCGCCCCTCTGGCCCCACTCGCCCCGCCGTCCCCTTAGCGCCCTGCCGGCCCGCTCACGCCCTCCCGGCCTCGTTCGCGACCCGCCGACCCAGTGCGCCCCTCTGGCTCAGTGCGCCCCGTTGGCCCCGTGCGCCTCGTCGGCCCACAAGCCGCCCAGCCAGCCGGCTCCAGCTTCGCCGGCCCCCGCTTCCTCGACCGCCCGCCGGCCCGTTGATCCCCAGCACCGACCCACCGGCCCTGGCTCCCTACCGCGCCAGCCTCCCTGCTGGCTATCTCCACCGCTCTCCACCGCTCTCCACCGCACTCCACCTCACTACACCGCACTCCACCGCACCCCACCGCTGTTAGAAATAGACTGCAAATACCACTTTTGTATTTGTACTTTTATATCCTAGTTTAGGTTATGAATTTTCTAGTGGGTTGGGGTGTACTCACAAATCCCAACCTCACCCAATTGTGATCCCCCCAATCTCCAATTACCCAATTGGAGATTCCGGAGATCCTAATGGGGATTCCCTCCAATTCCCCCTTCATCCATTCACTCTCACCTTGCCATGTACTTATAGAGCCTTGGGCTCCTTACCTAATCAATCATTTCAACTCTATTTCTTACATAGTATCAGAGCGACCTATCCGCACACGCGGATCAAGGTCCTAATCTTAATGTGGCCCCGCTACGCGCACCTCATCGCTGCGACATTCATCTCGAGTCGTCGGAATTTTCGACGTGCTCCACTCTGCAATCGCGCCTTTCATTGTTGACCGCCTTTGCGCTCGACCTCGTTGAATTTCTCAGCTCTGATGCTTTCACGCTTCTCATCGTCGATTTCCTCCTCGGTTCTCCTTGGTCGAATCTCAATTTCGACCATCTCTTAAAACTCGTTCTCGAGTTTCCCCTCAGACCCCGCCAGTATAGGCGTACTCCCCTCGCGAAATCACCTCCACGAACATCTCGCGTCAAGCAAGAGCAGGTACACAGGTTGAAGCGAAGCGGAGCTGGTTGCGGAGCTGGTTGCGGAGCTGGTTGCGGAGCTGGTTGCGGAGCTGGTTGCGGAGCTGTGTAGCTGCGGGACAGGGCCTGGGGGTGTGTGGGGGGGTGTGTGGGTCCGGGGTTAGACATAGGCTTAGATTCAGTTTCAAGTCGGCGTTTTAACGATTTTTCGCCGACGCCATTTCCTACTTAGCGGCATTTTGATAAAGCCGTCAGAGTGATTTTCAGCAATTCTCGTCGACCAATTTCCAGAAGTGCCGCGCTGCACACCGACAATGGCTTACTCAACCACTTCACTCGCCAACCCGATCCCGCTCCTTCGTCTCGAGCTGGACGGCACATGCTCCAACTACAAGGCTTGGCGCTATGGTGTCGACAAGCACCTCCTCAGTCGCGAGGTGAAGGGGCTCGAACTCACCGACGTCCTTCTCAACATCGGTGACGGCAAAGAGCCTCCTAAACCCGAGAGGTCCGCCGATCCAGCTAATGCCGCCGCCGAAGCAGTTTATGCTGCTGCACTGCTCAAGTACAAGAATTGGGAGAAGGCCGATGGTGCGGTCATTAGTGTCTTCATGGGCACCACTCCTCCCGAACTCGTCGAAACCTACCACAACTACCCGTCTGCCAACGCCATTTGGCTCTACCTCGAGGATCGCTTCCTGAACAAGACTGCAGTAGGAGTTGCTATACTCATCCCCAGCATGTTCCAAGTGCGGCTCGAGGACTCGCCAGGCATGGCGGACTATGTCACCAAGGTGCAGTCCATTCATGGTGAACTCAAACAGTTGGGGATACTCTTCCCCGAGCAAGCCCCTGCAGCCGCTCTCCTAGTCGGCCTCACTCCGGCATACGAAGTCACACGCAAGATGCTCTTGGGCCTTGCTCCTGCAGACCTCACATTTGCCAAGGTCTCATCCGCGCTCCTTTCTGCCGAAAAGGACAACAGCGCTCAAGCCAAGGCCAATGCAATCCGCAATCCCGTGCCTCAAGCCTATGCCGCTTCGGCGCCATTCCAGCGCAACCGCTTCCCCCCGTGTCCCTATGTCATCAAGCGCGGCCCTCGTGCCGGCCAGGTGTGTGGCGGCACCAACCACGCCCTTGCCTCCTGCTTCAAGAAAAAGGATGACGATTGGTATGCCGTCAATGGGACCGCCTCGAAGCCGCCAAGCTGGATGGTCAATCGTGCTCCTCGCAAGGTCAATCAAGTCGAAGCGCAGGAATCCGTGCAGGCTGCTATAGCTCCCACTGCTGATGTGCGCCTCCACATGTTGTTCCCTGGCACTGCCATGATTAATGAGACAATTTTGCAGTGTCCCGGCTCACAAAGCACCTCAGCCACAATAGAGTTCATGTCACAGGATCGAATGTGTCGAGGAAAGGTTGCACTATCGATCAGTACAAGGCGCTTTTATACTTCCAGAGTACATCAGGTAACCAGGTTTATCTTATCCTAGGAGAATAGACCCTTCTAGAAGATAGAATCACCCTGCGTATAGCCACGCGAGGCTATTGGCTTTAAGGGATTACAGCAGGATTACGCTAGATAGAGCGCACCAGTACATCCCAAGCCTGGTCGGTGATATAATTATAATAGCAGGATAAACCAAAGGTTAATGGAAAAGGAAGAATAGGAAACCAAATGAGATGGAATAAAAGAGAAAGGAAAAAGGAAGGAAATAAGAAAAGGCCAAGTGGTGTAACGGGGTCATACTCTCACACTTCCCCCCCTCAAAGCTGGGTGGTAGAAGTAACACCCTGCTTGACAAGGTAGTCATGCAGAGGACAACGGGCGTTACCCATGTCGGACTCATGTACCCAGCTGTCCTCAGAAGGATCATAACCCTTCCAACGGATGAGAAGCTCCACGGTGCCATTCCGACGACGGCGGTGTGCGAGCACGGACTCGACCTCGTACTCGGGTTCATTATGGACGAGGACGGGCGGTGGCGGCGGCGGTTGGCGTCCAACGAAAATCGTGTTTGGGTCCCGATAGGGCTTCAGAAGTTGGACGTGGAAGGCGTTGTGAATCTTCCAGGTAGCTGGCAGGTGTAAGCGGAAGGTAACAGGAGTGACCTGTGCTTCAATGAGAAAAGGCCCGCAGAAGCGAGGTCGAAGTTTAGATGGGAGATGGCTGATGTCCAGGTTGCGGGTGTCAAGAAGCACCTGGTCTCCTACCGTGACGGTGTGATCGTTGCGATGGCGATCGGCGTGGTGCTTCTGTTGCTGTTGAATGTCGAGTAGGCGCTTGTGGGTCCGATCCCAAAGCTGATGCATGGTTGTGATGAAATCATGTGAGGGTTGGACTGTAGCTGATGCTGTCGGTTTTTGGGGTGTGAGTGGGTGGTGTCCGTAGCAGAGGAAGAA